GAAATGACCCATGACAAAATTAGTGGACAAGAACATTTAAGCAATAACTATGAATATATTCTATGTGCTCAAGAAGCTAGAGGAAATGTTGGACATGTCAACAAGGTATGTTTACAATTTTTGAAAGATCCAAACAGAATTTCTAGAGATTAAAACTGCAGTGTCAAAGAATGAAAAACACACTGATGGCATTAACAATGGATATTCAGAATATCAGAAGAAAAAACAAGTGGACTTTAAGAGATAGCAGCAGCCATAATCTAAAATGAAAATACACAGAGAAAAAAGCACTACAAATAATTAACAGAGCATCACTGAACACAGAGACAATTTTACGAGGCCAAATATATGTGTAATTGGACTCTCCAAAGTGGGAGGGAAAGGAAAAAGTCTAAACAATGTCTGCAAATTTTCCAAATACAATTAAAACTATAAACCCACAGATCAGTGCCCATTATAATCAAGTTGCTTAAAAGTGGTGAAAAAGAGAAAATCTTAAAAGTGGCTGGAGGGCAAAGGAAAGCACATTCAATACAGGGGAGCAGGAACAAAGATGGCAGCAGGTTTCTCACTGGACAAGACACAAACAAGAAGAGAGTGCAGCAACATCTTTTAAGTAATGAAAGTGAAAAAATAAAAAAAAACCCTGTTAATCCAGATTTACTGACCAGTGAAAATGTCTTTGAATAATGAAGGTGAAATAAAACCTTTTTTCAGACATCCAAAAGTTGAAAGAATTTATCACACTATAAGCATTTTAAAAGAAAGTCCTTCACACAAAAGTAAAATGATACGAGATGGAAACCTGGCTTTCACGAATGAGTGGAGACTAAACAAAACAGTAACTACGTGGATAAGTATTAAAACATTTTCTTATAACTTTTAAAAACTATTTCTATTAAATTTTTATTTATCATATGTAAAAAGAAAATGTATGACCACAAGAGCTCAAAGGCCAGGAGAAGTGAAACGGAACTACACTGTTGTATACCATACCATACCATACCATACCATACCATACCATACCATACTATACTATACCATACCATATCATACTATACCATACCATATCATACTATACCATACTATACCATACACAAAGTAGTACAATATCACTGGGAGGTAAGCTGTAATAACTTAAAGATGTATATATAAACCCTAAAGTAACCATTAAAATAAAGCAAAGGATTATGCTGATAAGTGAGCATCAACAACAATAACGACAAAATATTACACAAGTGTGCCATTAAATCAAACAAGGACAAAAAAAGAGTGAAAAGGGAATAGGAACCAATAGAATGAATGAACAACAAAGAGCGAGGTACTAGAGAGAGTGGATGTCAATTCAACTGTATCAATAATTATATGAAAAATAAATGGTTTAAATACCCCAACCAAGTTGCAGAATTTGTCAGATTGGATACAAAAACAAGACCTAACTACATGCTACTGCCAAGAAACCCACTTTAACCATTAAGGCACAAATAGTTTAAAAGGAAAAGGATAGAAAAAAAAAAAGAAGAAACTATTAAAAATACATGCTAAACAAAAGAAAGCTGGAGTGGCTAGTTTAATAGTAGATAAAGTAGATTTCAGTGCAAAGGATATTACAAAAGATAAAGAGAGTCATTTAGTAATGATATAGAGGTCAGTTCCTCAAAAGAAAATGATAATCCTAAACATTTATGCATGTGATAACAGAACTTCAAAAATAATGAAGGCAAAACTGACAAATGTTAGGAGAAATAGATAAATCACAATTAGAGTAGAAGATTTCATCTGACTTCTCTCAAAAATTAATAGAATAGGGGCGCCTGGGGATTGAGTCCCGCATTGGGCTCCTTGCTCAGCGGTGAGCCTGCTTCACCCTCTTCCGCTCCCTGCCACTCTGCCTACTTGTGATTCCTCTCTCTCTCTGTGTGTCAAATAAATAAATAAAATCTTTAAAAAAAATTAATAGAATAAGAAGACTTCGGTAAGCATATAAAGGACTTAAATAATACTGTCAACCAACTTATCAAATCAATACTTATGGACTAGTTCACTAACCACAACAGTACATATTCTTTTCAAATCTACATTGATTGTTTACCAATGTGGACCACATTCTAGGGCATAAGAAAAATCTCAAGTAATTTGAAGGGATTCAGTCACACCAAGTATGTTGTCTGATCTCAGTGTAATTAAATTAAAAGTCAATAACAGAAAAAATATTGGGAATGTATTCAAACATTTGAGAACTAAAAAACATACTTATAAATGGCCCATCAGTCAAAGAAGAAATCCAAAGAGGAATTAAGAAGTATTTTGAAATGAATGAAAATGAAAATCTAACATCTCAAAACTTACTGAAGCAGCTAAAGCAGTATTTAATGTGAATTCATAGCATTAAACACATGCATTAGAAAGAGAGGTCTTACATCAATGAACTCAGATTCTATAAAAAGACACTACAAATGGAAGAGCAAGTGACACCTAAAGTAAGCAGAAGAAAGGAAATAAAAAAGGTTAGGGTGGAACAATAAAATAGAAAACAGAAAATCAGTAGAGGAAAGTCAATGAAACAAAAGCTAGTTCCATCAGATGCTCAGTAAAATTTATAAACCTGTAATTAGAGTGATCAGGAAAAATGGATGGAATACATTACTGATACAACAACAGGAATGATCTCGAAACAATTAACCTGAGTGAAAGAAGTCAGACCTAAAAGAGTGTGGACTGTGTGACTCTGTTTACACAATTTCAGAATATGCAAAATAATATGCAGTTAGAAAAACAAGGATTGGGGGATATGAGTCAGCAGTGGGGCTACTTACAATGGGCCAAGAAAATATTGGGGGGGGGTGATGGATGCTGTTATCTTGATTGCTATGATGACTCTATGGGGGTAAACATGTGCAGTGTGTTGAATGCCAATTATACTTCAGTGAACCTGTTAATATGGAATGTGTGGCTCTAATTGGTTTGAATCCTGATACACTTTTCTGTGGGGTGGGGGGAGAAACAGAGGGCCGCAGCTGGATGTCAGGAAACCATGGACAGCCCTGCGTGGTACTGCCACCACATTTCATTCCCCAGGGTGGGATCTCCCTGCACAGAAGTGAATCTCAGCAGGAGAGCTACTTGGCTCACAGTCACTGATTTCAGGAAGGCGCTTACATTTCCTGTCATCTGAAAGCCCTTTCTCACCACTGTGAAACCTGTTACTAATCAGCCTAATATCAGCTTCTCTAATTTCCACTACACCAATTCCCCTTCTAGACAGTCATTTCACCTTGCCCCACTTTGTCTTGGTTATGGAAGGGAAATTATTGTTAGTATCTGCTATTTTATTTGCTGTTTCCTGACCTCTTTTTCTTCTACTTCTCTCTGCCCCTTTTCTTCCCTTCAATTTCTCCTTCCCTTTGCTCATGCAATATCCCTATGTAGCCTATTATTTATCTTAAATTGGCTATAGCTTCTAGTTTTATTGCTAGGTCCTCCATAAGCTTTCCTCAAAAATAATATTTGGAAACACTGATTTTTTCATTCCCAGTGTGTGTTCTTGTCTGTATTTTTTCACATCAGTGCTCTCACCTAAATCTATGCCAATAAGTGATCCACTTTTTTATTTTAGACTCAGTGGAAAAATGTCATCTCTGCTTAAAAAATAGACTTTTAATCACATAAATGCTTCATATATACCTATTTGTGAAATAGAGACAAGTATGCCATAACCAGGTGTCTCTTTTTTTGGTCAAATATGCTGTGTTTCTGGACAGATGGTTTATTTTGGAATCTCTCTGACATAGTCATTTGATATTTAAATTATAAGTGACATCATACCAAGCATCCTCTATACCTTTGTTGACATACAGAATTGCAATATGTCTTTGGCCATCTCCAACCTCTTATTATATATCTGTATATATTAAATTTTGAGTTATTCCTATAAGTTTAGCTAATGCTCCTATTTTTCCCAGATAGTTTTTCTAAAATGAATAATAAACAGATTTATTCTTACAGCTTGAATCATAGTATTATGATTATCCAGAGAAACAGAACTGATAGGTAAGGAGATTTATTTTCAGGTATTGCATCATGTGAATATGGAGGCTGAGAGGTCCCATGATCTGCCATCTGCAAGCTGGAGGCCCAAGAAAACCACTAATGTAGTTCAAAGGCCTAAGAGCTGGAGAGCCGATGTATAGATTCCAGTCTGAATCTGAAGGCCTGAGGACCAGGAAAAGGCACAGGCAGAAGAAGACAGATGTCCCAGAGCAACAGTTGGACAGAGAGCAAATTTAATCTGCCTCCACCTTTTTGTTCTATGGAGGCTCTCAACAGGCTGGGTGAGGCCCACCTACACTGGGGAGGACAATCCGCTCTACCCAGTCTGCCAATTCAAATGTTTGTTTCTATCAGAAACACTCTCACAGACATAACCAGAAATACTGGTTAACCAATGCTCTAGTCTAGGTATCTTGTGATCCAGCCAGTTGACTCATAAAATTAACTATCACACATGTCATTTATGCTTTGTGTACGGATCACTGCAAAAATGAATGACTCCATGAGTTATTGCCACAAATTTTATCACTAATATTTTCAAAAAGGAAGTCCAATGTGAATTTTTGCTGTCTTAGCCTTTAAGTTGATCTTGGTGATACATCAGTTTTGACTGGTCTGATGGTGTGTTTGCTATTTTCTTTCCTCACATATTATTTATTTTCACTTCCTTAAAACCAGAGGTTATTAACAGAACCAGTTATGCAAAGCATAAATCTTGAATATTTCGTTAAACCATAGGTCCTCTGTGAACAAATTTTTTGACAGGTCCTCAGACACTTACTTCCGTTCCTCTGAGGGATATTTTCCATTATGTTTAAGAAAGGTGACATCTGCAGATATTAGTTTTTTTGAAATTCAGACACTATGGTGATCTGGTATCTCTTCAGAAATGAGAAGGTTGATATTTATCTTTGCAAAAGTAAAAACAGTCTTAGGAGGAAGAGACTTACCCTATAAATGGCAACCGCAAGACAGGCACATTTGAAAATGTCTGAAAGAAAAAAATGGAAGAAGAGATAGTTTCTAGCCAATATATATTAAAAAGAAAGAAACTGCAGATTTGAATTCACGGTGTCTAAGTTCATAAAATATCACCAAGATTCATCAGACACTGATTAGGTTGCCTCAGTGGAAGATAACTGTGATGGTTCATTTTGTCTCTGCAGGAATGGAAGATGCCAAGATACTATTGGAAGAGGGAGCTACAATTATCAATCACGCCAGGCAGCAACATTTTTGGTCTTTGATAACTAAGAAACATTGCTCTATTGAAGATTTGGTTGGGGGGGCAGATTTACAATTAGGACAACAGATCATTTAATTGTAATCATCTCTTCTAATACAGAAATCTCTAAGCTGGGGGTGATGTTAGCATGTTGCTGAGATAAGTCTCCTCTGCTTCCTGTGTGAATTTGAGCAAGTCTTTTAAAATTAATTCTCCTATCTACAAAATGGTGTGTGTGTGTGTGTGTGTGTGTGTATGTCTTTCAGTCAGATTACAGAAAATCTCTATAGACTGAAAACTATTTGAACTCTTGGAAGAAATGGAGATGTTCAAGAGGGCTTTAGCAGCTTAGCTTAAACTTTCTCTCCTTTGAAACTTTTTTCAGAGAACTCATTCATTTATTAAAAAAACTTTTTTTTTTAAGATTTTATTTATTTTTCAACAGAGAGAGAGCGACAGCAAGAGAGGGAACACAAGCAGGGGGAGTGGGAGAGGGTGAAGCAGGCTCCCCGCTGAGCAAGGAGCCCGATGAGGGGCTCGATCCCAGGACCCTGGGATCATGACCTGAGCTGAAGGCAGACGCTTAACGACTGAGCCACCCAGGCGCCCTAAAAAAACATTTCTTGAATCAACTACAATGGGCCCGGTACTTCCAACACTGCTGTAAACATTACTTTCTTTGTGGATTTCTCACGTTCTTTCTTTGTTGCCCTTGCTGTAGGGCGTGGACTTGCAGATATGAAGACCTGGAACTTTCCTCCTCATTTCTGGCATCCTTTTTTCTAGCATGGTACAATATACTGAACAAGCTTATGAAGTGAGTGCACTACTAATGAATAAGAGTGAGAGCAACAGAGCACCCCCACTTCCTCCACTTGTCTTGACTCCTAAAGACTTTGAATCAATGTGAGGTTCTCTTTGCCCTTCACTACTTCTACTCTTCCATTTTCTGTTAGGCTCCCTGAACACAGGCATATGTCTATACGTTGTAGGAGTGTCTGTTGCTTTAAGAAACAGGAACAAAGATTTTTTTTTCCATAGTTTTTTGTAGCCCTTTAACTCTCAGTGACTCTTATTTCCCTAGCCACCAATAGTAATTTGGTCTTTCCATGGTTTTTAATATATTTTTCCATCTCCCTGGAGCACAATGAGAATTACCTTCTTTTATGTCAGATTCTGTCAAAGACACCTTCAAGGTCCAAGGAGGAAAGGTGCTGTACATAACACAGGTAATCTCGTAACGATGCATCATAGGCATATTGCAAGGAATAATTGAATGCTATCTGTAAAATATGGTGAGCTCCTCAGAAGACAGGTGTAACTGCAATTTTCTTCTGTGTAACTAAGCTTCTGGCTCATAAACAAAGAGTGTATATCTCCTTTTATACATCCCTTTTTTTATTTGCAAGTATTTTGTCTTTGGTCTTAAAAAATGCCTGAAATAAGGATGAAAGTAGAAAAACTTTAATTTAAATGGTAGTTAAATAAATGTCATTGTGAGTTGTATACAGAAAGTGCACCCAAATGGACATTAGGAGGATGGGCTTTAAGTCTCCTTTGTGTTCTTGGATTACTGCATACCTTTAGGAGAGGGGCAGATCAATATGAATTTGAAGAACCTCTGGTGTGAAGCCAGAGATGGAGACAGTAAACTTCAGGGTCCCTTCCCATATTTTTTGACTCTGATTTCCACCAGTTTAAAGTTCCTTGGGAGCAGAAACAATGCATTTTTTTTTTTTCGTTTCTTTACTCCTAGTCATAAGCATGACATCAGGCAAATAATAGACCCTCAATAAACATTTGTTGTATGAATGTCTTACAAAATGTAATTGGTAATAGACACTATGTAACACTATTCAGATCCAGAAATTCCAAGGCTTAACATTAGAGATGGCACTTATCTGTTCAAAAGACGACCGAGAAGTTGACATCATTAAGGGATTCTCTTGGAAAAGCAATAAAATCTGTCAGACTATGTCATATGGACCAGCTCTGAACAGATGCTGTGCTGAGGATCTGGGAAAGAGCCCCATGAATTACATTCTAAATTTAACTGTGTGAAATTGTATGTATTCCTGGCTGTCAAGTGGAAATGGGTTTGTATGGTTGGTCCTGCTGCTGTGTTTGGGTGAACCCAAATGGAAGGTTCCGGAGTCATCAGTATGCAGGAGGTTGAAGGGTATGGTGAGCTTGCTATAACCCCATTCAGCAGTGAGTTAGACAGCAGTGAGTTAGGCCAGAGTACCATTTAAAAATCTTCTACAAAAGGTTGCTGCATCTTGGAGGCTAAAAGAAGCATGCACCATTATGTTTTGAGATCGCTAAAGAAGAAAATGTCTGCATTCATTATGGCTAAATTTAGGGCCTAGAGTATAAAATATGTTTTAGTCTTCTGAGCACAAAATATAAGTAAGAAAGAAAACAACAGTAAGCAAAAGTGTGGGCACATCTCACAGTTGAGAGTCTGTGTGTCTATATTTTCAATTATATCCCTTATTTCTAAATTTTCTTTATTTCTAAAGGTGTCTAAGGAAAATTACCACTGAAAAATTGCAATTGGAAGAAAGATTTATCTTGAGGATATTTATAAGAATTCCAAAAGGACTTGGTTTTTAGGAAATTTAAAATAGACTATTCTAAACATTGGGCAAAGCATTGATGATAAAATTATTAGAATAAGATACAGAATAATATCTGCTTGACAAATTTTCTTTCTTTCTTTCTTTTTTTTTTTTTTAAAGATTTTATTTATTTATTTGAGACAGAGAGAATGAGAGAGAGAGAGCACATGAGAGGGGGGAGGGTCAGAGGGAGAAGCAGGCTCCTCGCTGAGCAGGGAGCCCGATGCGGGACTCGATCCCGGGACTCCAGGATCATGACCTGAGCCGAAGGCAGTCGCCCAACCAACTGAGCCACCCAGGCGCCCTCTTTCTTTCTTTTTTAAGGAAGGATAAGTTCAGATATCCCCAGGGAAAGACTGACTTAGTATCACCTGGGGGAGTATGTTCTGAAGGATGTATTCCTGGATTCCACTGAGAAAAGTTCTAAACCAGAAAATCTGGATTTTGTTTGTTTGCTTCTTTATAGAAATTTTCCAGTATAAACAGCTGCCATGCCCGTGGAATGTTTGCTAATATCCTGTGAGAAATTTCTCAGGTGTAGAAAAACCATACTTGGCTTAAATACTGCGAGAAGCTTGACCCATGCGTACTCCTGTCTGGATCGTTGCCTTGGTTAGAGGTGTGAATAAATAAATTGTATGCTGGTCACAGCTAATCTATGTGCTTCAGTCCAGCTTATTATTTCTGGCCCATGTCAAAAATCCTGGCCTCTGTTGGAACTAATTTCTCTCTCTCTCAAATTCCCCAATTGTGAAGGTAGATTATCCTGAATATTCCTTTCACTTTAAAAGAGCCATGTCATGTGATAATTTCAGAGTATATCTTACCATAGCCTGAGAGATTATTTTTTCCTTTGTTAGAGAGCATGCAGATACCTTAATTTGTTTTTGAAGTAAGAATGATCTAAACCAAAAAAATCTAGGAATCATAAGCATATGCATTCTGTGCATGCTAAGTATTTTAACACAGTGACAGATAAACTTAATCAGATGAACGATTCTAATGAGTAAAGAGAGATGCATCAAAATACCAGTTTTTGATGCTGGGCAAATGAGAGTAGGCGCGACGATATTCGATTACTCTGGTTGATCTTGAGTGTTGTGAGAGAATGATGACTTCACTCGCCGGTGTGTCTTTAACACACTTCAGAAGAGTGCCTGTCCATCAGTGGAGGCTACAGTATATAATATAGCTGCATAAGGCCGATGCCAGCGCCACGATGCTAAAGAGAATCATTAGTTTTCCTAATAGCTCCCTTTCAGCAGTCCATGGCCTTACCCAGAAATGCCCCGTTAGCAAAGCTGTCATTCCCTGATGATCTCTGGATGGGGGAACGATGATAGAGCACAGACCGCTGCGTTTGTGGTAGAATAGCATTTTTCCTTTACTTCTGAAAGGATTCATAATTTGTATTCCATTTTCTGTTGGCTATAATGGACTGAGGTTTGATTCAAGGTAAAAACTCATCCAAGGAGGGAATTATACACTGGAGAAATATTTACAAGATGCACTGTAATCTTTCCAGCTAGAGTACATTAGATTTTCTTCTCATATCCAGGCACTTGAAATTGATACACTGAATATTTTCTTTGCCCCAGGTCACAGTATAAGAATAATATCATTTAGTTTACAAATTATACCTTGGGAGTCAAACTTTATGTGGTATAAAACTAAAGATGGGTTGATACTGTTTTGGCAATTTACAGACCAAACATCTTCAATGCCCTTGGGCCTGCAGGAATAACGAGGAGGGTATGGTTAAGCAGCAGTCCCCTGCTTGAAATTCATCCATGGCTTCCCATCATCATGGATTGAATTCAAATCCTCACCATATCCTACAAGGCCTTACTGGATCCCCGCCTAAACTCTCTCTTGGATTTGTCTTATATCAGGCTTCCTTTTTATTACTTTCCAGGTATACTTGACTTCTTCATGTCCTTCACACACATCAACCTCGTTCCTCCCTTGGGGAATTTGCCCTCGCTATTTCTCCTGCTGAAATGTTTTTTGCATAGAGTATGTACTTGGTTTGACTCTTTTTATTAGGTAGGCATCAGTTTAAATGCCTTCTCCTTTAAGGGGCTGTACGACCACCCATTCTGAGGTGGTTTCCGAGACACTCAATTGCCTTGGCCAGCTTTTTTT